GAAGCGTTTTCTATATTATGCACTTATTGAGGGGGAACTTTCCTTTTTTGATCATAATCAAAATAGGGGGAGAAATTATTTAAAGCCTCTTATGTTTATTAAATTTAAATGTTGTCTGGTATGTTTAATGTTTTTGTTAGCTGTGACAAACAAAACATGTTATTACAAAGGGCTTTAAAGGAAATTTTGATCATCATAAAAAAGGGGGAGATTGTTAACCATACAAGGATATGAATGTTGAACATACAAGGATATGAAGCTTGTAGAATTTGATGATGATTCAAGAATAAAGGACTTAAAGATTTGAAGACTTGTAATGTTATGTAATAACTCTGTTTTTATGTTTTTGAGTCTGTAATATTAGAGTGCAAGATAGCCAGCACATAGACCACTCTTTAAAAACTCTAAAAACTCATTTTTATCAAAAATACACTGGAATAATCGATTATTACAGCAAGAAAACCATTTTCAGTATTTGCTCACTGGAATAATCGATTAAATGGCCTATTAATCAATTAACTGGGTTGTTAATCGATTAAATGGCCTGTTAATCGATTATCTGGCCCTGTTTTTGCTCCTCTGCGAAAATGGCTCTGGAATAATCAATTAACACTTAAGATAATCGATTATTTGGGTCTGATATGTGTTTTGAAATTCAAAATTGGACTAGTTTCGAAAATCCTATTCCCAATTCATCAAGTTTCGAAAATCCCTAATTCCCAAACCCTATTCTCTCTACTTAAGGTTCTCTAAGGCTCTCTGCAAATTGAACAACCTTTTTCATACAAAAGTTAAGAGTTGTGACTGCTAGAGAACTGTTTGTAGGGAAGAAAAATGGGATTTTGAAACCTAGTGTGGGCGAGAAGCGATAAGAATCACTGAGTGGGTTTCTTGGTGGATTGTGTGTTATGTTGTCTCTACAGAAAGCTGTTCTTCATCCTTTGTGGATTCAAAGGAGGTGTTCATCTCTTGTGTGACTCAAGAGAGATGTTTTTTTTACCTTATCTTTTCATTTGTAATCTATTTGTAAACTGTGATTATAGTGACAACATTAATCCTCTTTTTGAGTTATTAGCAACTGGACGTAGGGTCTTTTGATCCGAACCAGTATAAATCAACTGTGTAATCTTCTATCCCTTATCTATTTACTTTACACAACATTTTAATCGGTGAAAATTGGAAAAAATTTTAAAATCCTAATTTTTGTTTAAGAAACCAATTCACCCCCTCTCTTTGTTTTTGTACGTAAACGCAAACATTCCGCTGCGCGATTCTAACACTTTTATCTTAGTGAGAATGATTCTCCTAAGTTCTTGAGTGGTTTAAGAACACTTGGTTGTATCAAAGGACTTTTACATCCTTTGTGAGTTGTCTTCCTTGAAAAGAGTGATTCTTTCCTTTCACCTTATCACTAAATTCCTAAATTTTCTACAAGGTTCTAACCTTAAAGATCCTAAATCACCCCTTGTGATTTATATCAGTTTCTGACCAACTATCAGGCGACGAAGATAACAACAAGGCTTGTACTTAATTAACATGATTTATAACATTAACACTTTCTTGCATCTTCGTTTTAACTAATTGACGAATCAAGATTACCTTGTTTAATGTTGATGACTTTTGATACATGTTTGATAATGCCTTTATCAAACCATATGTCATCTTCTTATTAATGATGTTGTAGGCAACATTATTCGCCAATATTAATCTAACGATGCCCAAAGTCTGTCGATCTATCAACTCTCAACCTACTTGAGACATCATTTCTAGTTTATTTTCGAACAAAGGCTAGTGCAACTTTTTTTTTATATAGATAATCTTCAAGTTTCATATTCAAAAATCCAAAATTGCTTCCATCGAACTTATTAATCTTCACTTTCCCTTCTTTTGCCATTGCTCCCACTTGCATGAAAAACCTAAGCTCCTAATACCAATTGTTGGGAGAACACAAATGCATTACAAGATGAAAGTAAATAACAAGTATACAAGAAATTTACGTAGTTTAGTTAAAATGACCTATATCAACGGTTATACTAGATGGTAGTTCTCATTTACTTAATTATGTTTACAATTACATGATTATTTATAATAAAAAAATAAAAAAATGGGTAAGGTCTCCAAATACTCCAGTGCCTCCACCCAATACAGAGGTCCAACTAGTGAGGTAGGCAAGTGACATATTCTTGGCTTGGCCAAGACATTTGGTGGTGCTACTTTCAGTATGGATAAAGGTAACATATGTTGTGTCCTTCTCTCCCTTTTGTATTCTTATAATTGTATCAATGTTTAACCAATTTTTATTAGCATGGACAAAAGTAATATATGTTGTGTCCTTCTCTCCCTCTTATATTCTTATAATTATATCAATGTTTAACCCATCTTCATTATTTGTTTAGGATTTTATCCATCGTGGTAAACATAAGAGAGAACCAATTATTGATGAAGAGATGATAAAAGTTAAAGATGATCTCATATCTATGCTTCAGACCATATTACACAAGTTCAGGAAGAGGCCAACTCAGATATAGTGAGACACTAGTTAACAATTCTACTATTTCATTGTATGTTTCATTGCCCAACACATTAGAGATTATTGGGGGAAACTGCATGTTAAACATTTCTATTATATAATTGTTGACCATGTAAGTCATTTTCATTTATATTTCTAACATTACAATAATTATATTTAACTTATAATTCATTCTGTTAGGTACATTGACAAATTAAGTATGGAGCAAGAAAAATCATAGGTATATGGATTTATTGAGACTTAATCCATTAAAAAACTGGGAATATGAAGGTCCAAATCTAACAATATATGCAAACATGAATGACTCACAAAGATATATATACTTGTCTCTATATATTGAAGAATTAGTATTTTAATTTATTTTTTTAATCATACTAATTGTATAATTAATTTGTATGTCGTATAATGTAAGTCTCGTTGGTGTTTAATTCTAATCATTCATAGGATTTACACTAGGTTATTTTGTTCATTGTAAAAAAACCTAATCAAGAAATGAAAAATCTATTACAAAGATAAATTTATCCTTTTTTTTTAGGTTTTAAAAGTATAAATATATATTAAATAATATCTATCTTTATCTCAATTAAAATCATTTTTAAAAATAATATTTTAAGTAAAAAGTATAACAAAGAATTTACATTTTATTTATCTTAAGATTACAAGATTATTTAATAAAAATTATAATTATTATTTTATAGAAACTTTGAAAATAACATTTCAATTCGTTTCTCTTATGCAATTACATCATAAAATTTCTCTTATGCATCAGTAATTACATCGTATGTTTGACTCTTAAGAGTCAATTTGATTTTGAATATGTTGTCTTTCAACACAAGGTTTTATCATAATATCAATATTATCCTGGGCTGAATATGATTAGGCTTAACATTTTATTTGTTTAATAATCACCGAAAGATTTTAAAAGTAGCTTATATGTAATTTGTTTAAAAGGATGGTTTTAGACTAACAAGTTAATTTTTTAATTAAAATTTTCTCTCTCTTTTTTTTCTTTCTCTTTTTTTCTTAAATTAAAAAAAAATCTCTTTTTCTCTTAAATTAAAAAAAAAAGACATGGTTGAAATTTAAAATGATACTTATTAATAATAATAATAATAATAATAATAATAATAATAATAATAATAATTTAGATAAGACATAGAATCATTCAAAATCTTATGCAATCTTATTTCAAGTTTTTCAACAATTTATTTCGTTTTAATTTTTCATCCATCTGGCAGATTTTTAGGATTCCTTCAAAAGAATTCATGTTCTAGATTAATCGCAATTTTTAATACCTTTAAGATTCTTTTAAAAGAATTTATTTTCTATGTTAAAAATCTACAAAGATATTATAAAAAAATATTATATTTATAATTTAAACTAGGAATCTGAATATGATTCTTGTGAATTCAAGTTGAAAAAATTTAAAATTTTTAATAATAAGTTAAAACAAATTCTAATTTTTAAAAGTTTATCCAATTAGTATAAATTAACTTATAGTTTCCAATTTTTAATATTCTATTATATATATATATATATATATTAATGTAAATTCATTAAAAAAACATTTAATAAATCAACTTATTTAATCCACCTATTTTAAGATAAAAAACAATTAAAAAATATATATTTATGTAAATCAATCCACATGTCACATTAAAAAAACACATTTCTAACCTTCACCGAGTCACCCTAATCCGAACTAATGATATAGTGCTAAATATATTATCTCTCAAAATTTTACAAATTTAAATCACTATCAGATTTTAACTTAAAGTTAACTTAATCCTATTTCAATTAATAAATTAATATTAAACCAAATCGTTCATATTAAACACCCGTGTAAACTTGAGAAACACTACCCTCCACAGATTTTCCACCAAATTTTATAACTTATATCGTGAGAAATACTACCCTCCACGGATCTTTCACCTTCCACCAAAATTTTATAACTTATATCGTGTTTGTATATTTATATCTTCTTATCATTTTATATTCTTATATCTTTTTTAAATTCACTTATTATTTATTTGGCCCCTTATTATTTATAAGATGGTGAAAATCCGTCGCTACTCCTTAAAATTCAACAATAATTAGTTTTAATCTATATTTTCATGTTTGTTGAAAAAAAAATATTTTGAAAAAATTTTAATATTGAAAACATATCTTATAGGAAATAAAATCAAATCTCTCACCAAATTAAAAATAGTAATAATAATTAAAAATAATGTCGCATAGATCATCTAGTGGTTCTTACTAACATCCATTGTATATTAGCTTGTGAAAATGATGTTTTAACTTCAAGAAATAGTTGAGTTAACGCAAGAGTTCACAACAAATAAGAAAAAATTTGATTAGATAACGATTTATATGCATTAGAACTCAGCAAAGCAAAAAACTATCATGATATTTGCTTGAAACTATGGAAGAAACAGTGAAGATCAACGACATTACTCAACTCATGTAGTTACTAACTGTACAAATCATCATCTCCCTCAGCTGTAACGGATGAGAAAGGGTCTGAGGCACCTGTTGCAGTGTCCTCATTTCGATCAGGAAACCGAAACTCAGATCCAATTCCCCGCGACTGTTGCAAGGTCTGTGCAAAGAGTTGGTATTTCCTGATGTCAGCATCACTCACACTCCGCCTAGCAAACTTCATAGACTCCTCAAAGTGGGCAGGCTTTATCTCAGGGACCTCAACAATGTCATCTTCTTCCATGGCTTCAGGGTTTTCTCTCTTTCTTCTCTCCTTCTCAATATCCTGAGATTGTAGGGGTTAAGTATTTGTAGTAATTAAACAAATGGGTTTCAAACTTCTAAAACAAAGATAAAAAAGACAATTTTTTTCTTTTTTAAATATTAACATTGAAAATATAGATTCTGCTATCATGGTTGATTTCAATTTTACATCAAACCAAATGACTCCATGAATATATATAAGCTACATCCTAAAAGCAATGGAGATAGGATAATTAGTTTTAAGCTGAAATCCAAAAAACTAAAAAAAAAAAAGTCAAAGTACAACTATTACATCAAAGCAATGTGACATGTAATACTTACTACCTTTTAAAACAGTTCCAGAAATTGAAACAAAAGTTATTTTTATGTGTGTTAATAACAAATACTCAGAAAGGGACAAAGGACAAGAATGTTATTGATAGTTTTAATAATATATGATTTGGACTTAGTAGTTTTGATTTTAAGGTATTGGTCTTTCTTCTTTATATGTTACTTATTTTTTTTATTCTTACTTAGTTTGGGAAACACTTGGATCACCTCATGACCAACACAACGCAAAGCCCTTACTAGTTAGGAATTAACAACACAGTATTTGTTCGCATGTCATACCTTTTCAATATCTTCTCTAATGGCATATTTGCATGCTCGTTGACAAATTTCTGTAATGTCTGCTCCACTGAATCCATGAGTATAACGGGCAAGAGCTGCAAGGTCAACATCCTTTGAGATCGGTGACTTCCTGAGGCATGCCTTGAAGATTTGAAGACGTGAACTTTCGTCCGGTAAAGGGATGTAAATCAATTGATCCAGACGTCCAGGCCTGAGCAATGCAGGGTCTATAATGTCTGGTCTGTTTGTTGCCCCAATGATGAAAACTGTTTTCTTCGCTGTCATACCATCCATTTCAGTTAACAATTGGTTCAACACCCTATCCGAAGCACCACCAGCATCCCCCACAGAACCGCCTCGCTGAAGATTGGAAATGTGCAAAGAATTAGAAGATAAACGACGTGTTTCTAGACAACCTTTTAAAGCAAGTGTCAACTTTATCAAGAATGGTCTATATTAAGAAAGAAAGTGCTTCTAGCATTTCTCCTAAAACATTATGAATGAACAACATGTCATACCTGGGTGGCAATTGAGTCAAGTTCATCAAAGAAAAGCACACAAGGAGCTGATTGTCGAGCCTTGTCAAATATCTCCCGAACATTTGCCTCACTTTCACCAAACCACATTGTTAACAACTCAGGTCCCTTAACACTTATAAAGTTGGCTTGGCACTCATTAGCAATTGCTTTTGCAAGCAGGGTTTTACCACAGCCAGGAGGACCATAAAAAAGAACACCTTTGGAAGGTGACATGCCAAATTTCTCAAACTTCTCTGGATGTTCCACTGGGTATTGAACAGTCTACAAGAAGCAAAAGATTTCTTACATTTGTTTGCAAATACAAAAAACTGAACTACATTAAAATCTACATGTACAACATATTTAGGAATTAAGATACAGATTATCAAAATAACCTCCTGAAGCTCCCTTTTGACATTTTCTAAGCCTCCAATGTCGTCCCAGGAAATATTTGGAACCTCCACCACCTGCCAGCAGCAATCACTCATATTATGGTTCTTGTAACATGGGAATGCATGGGGTATGCTAAATAAAAGCAGGTGTTCATTTGCAAAACTATGCTCTTTTTTGTCTAAAATCTTATGAAACTCAATATGATTAATCAAGCTACAAATTTATTGGTTACGAGTAAAAAAGCCAAACTCACTGTTTCACGCAGGGCGGATGGGTTTGAAGAAGTCAAAGCAGTTTGAAAGTGTTCATTAGTCACAGCCATGGAATTCAACACCTCAGCATCAATTGTTTCATCCTCTAAGTCAATGACATCCATTTTCTCCCGAATACATTGTAGTGCAGCCTCTGTGCAAAGAGCAGCTAGATCTGCTCCAACATAACCATGGGTATCTCTGGCAACTTTTTCAAGATCAACCTGAAATACACCATAAAATTGGAGTTGGGAAGTGCAAGTTATACTGCCTTCAAAGCAGAATAGTTTCATGGCTAGACGTATCTTACATTGTCTGAAAGTTTCATGTTCTTAGTATGAATTCTAAGAACCTCCAACCTTCCAACTTCATCTGGTACTCCAATGTCAATCTCCCTATCAAACCTTCCAAATCTTCTCAGAGCAGGATCAATACTATTGGGTCTATTTGTGGCTCCAATAACAATGACGTGTGATCGGGTTTTGAGGCCATCCATAAGAGTCAAAAGTTGTGAAACTATACGCCTCTCCACTTCACCATGTGTCTTTTCCCTCTTTGGAGCAATCGAGTCTAATTCATCAATAAAAATGATAGAAGGGGAATTCTTTTCAGCTTCTTCAAATGCCTTCCTCAGATTGCTTTCACTCTCACCGGCCAGCTTTGACATTATTTCTGGTCCATTAATCAAAAAGAAGAATGCACCAGTCTCATTAGCAACTGCTCTTGCAATCAGAGTCTTTCCAGAACCAGGTGGTCCATAAAGCAAGATTCCTTTTGGGGGCTTAACACCAATTGATTTGAAGAGCTGTGGATGTCTAAGTGGAAGTTCTACCAGCTCACGAATTTGAGCCATTTGTTTCCTAACACCACCAACATCATCATAGCCAACTTCATTCAGTCTCTCTTCATCTTCCCGTTTGATTGGCTCTCCCTCACAGAAGATTTCAGTATCAGGTGCCACAACACAGTATTCACCAGGATCAGTCTCTATAACCTTGAATTCAATGCTACGCATTCCACCCCGAACAAGGAACAAATCCCCTTTTCTCACAGGCCGGTACGACTCCAGAAAATATGCTATGAAGCCAGAACACAAGACACATTTATTATAGAGGCAGCAAAAGGAATGCCATTGAACAAGAAATGGACTTACGCTTCAGATATGCATCAAACAAGTTGCCAGTTACACCCTCAATGGTGTCGTCAATTGGAAGGATGTGAACTCGTATTCCATACTTCACGTCAGGACATTGATGAACAGAGACAACATCTCCAAGTCTCACTCTAAGATTAGCCCGAACAACCTTATTCATCCTAATTTTTGGTTCATCACAATGTTCATCAGCCAGAACAATACAAATTGTGTCCCTTCGCTTCTTTCCCTGTGAATAAAAAATATTCTTAGAATCACATTAGCATAAAAATAAACGATTCTATGTACCTTTATCAGAACAGTGTCTCCCCTGAATAACTGAAGCTTGTCCATGGTTTCAGGGTGCAATGTAACCACAGAATTATCATCGTTAACTGCTTCATCAACAATAAGTCGGTTGGGAGACTTCTTGCATTCTAATATTGCTGTGGAATAATCCTTCTTCTCACTTTTCCTGCACCAAACATACATTTTCAACTGCATAATCAAACCACTGTAGTTACCACTTAAAAAAAAAAAAAACAAATGTAATTTTAAACCATATCAACACGTTTTTGACAACTAATATTACGCTTACAATTGATGTTCATAATTGGCATGCTTAAAAAGCATAATTACAGGGAAAAGTGATTCTGCACTGGCAAAACATTCACCAGTGGAATAATATGAATGATAGATATCTTAAATATAAAACAATATCATATGCTTCCAATGAATTGAGTTATACTTAGAGAAACTCCATGATATTCTTGGAAGTTTTTTTACTAACATTGAGAAACTCTCTCCTCTCCCTCGTTGACTATTAGACCGTACCAAAACCCTTAAATATTATGGTACCACTCTTAACTTTACACAGTCGATCTTCATTGAAAACTATATAATCATTGTTCCAAACCATGGACTCACCATCGCAATATTTACTTGTTTGTAATCAGCTGGGAAAACAAACTGACAGAAAACAGAAGGCAAAAACCACAAAGACACAAATAAAACCATTCAGCTACAGCTAACTGCAGAAATTAACTTCATGCTGCAAGATCAAACAAAATTCTTATTTCTTTGCCATACATGCCTTAACCAGGGAAACATACTTCAATTGTTTTCAAAATTACGTGCTAGGTATATATTGCACAAAAAAAAAACTGAGGAATGCATAAGAACAACTCTTAAAAAGCATCGGATAGTTATAATTCACAATGAAAAAGAAGTAAAGGAAACCAAAACAATAATGAGAGTGAGAGAAACGCACGGGTCCGAAGAGGGTTGACCCTTATCCTCAAGCTTAGATGAGGTTGGATCCACCATGGTTCAGTGAAAGCTTTTACTTGGTGGCGATGATGATTCTTTTAGTTTCTGTAGAAAAAAAAAAGAAAAAAGGAATCAATAAATAAGAAGTATATCATTTGATATAACAACAATAGTTTATTTCTGCGTAAACGATGATTGTAAAAGTATATGATTCTCTTCTAGCATGGTCCAAACCAAACTCACAGTATCTAAACAGAACAGTTGCAATTGTAAGCTTAGCTTTATGGAAATGGAACATATATAAAAGGAAAAAGAAGAAAAAGAAAAAGAAGAGAGGTAATGGATAATTTTATTTGGAGTTTCTTGACATGACACAATGGTGATGTTGGGAGCTCCAATGAGGTGCGTGGGAGTGTCCATTAAGGTTATTGGGAATAGCCACGCATCACCTTCTTCTTATGCTTCGTGTGAACCTTTCCTATTTTCTATTACCACACCGCATGCAGTGTCGCTCACGAAAGCCACGCATTATATCATTAATTAATCTACTCTAACATTAAAATAAAATAAAGAAGTAATATATTATTTAATAATTTAATTATCAATTAATTTTAACCAAGTTTATAAATTAGAAAATGAGTCTTCAAATAACAATATAAATACGTATTTTTGATACATTTTTATTAATTAATTAATTTATATATATATATATATATATATATATATATATATATATTTCTACAAGGTTCATGTGAGTTCGAGCTTAAAATATTATTTTTATAATATAAAATTATATATTTATTTTTTTAAATATTAAGATATTGGTCTTTATATAAATAATCAAATATAAAATTATTAAAAGATAAATTTATATTGTATATATAAAGCAATAAGTTGTTATTTCAAGTCACACTGAATTAAACAAGTTAAAGTTAACAGTTCTTATAAAGTTTAACTACATATTTTGACTTGTTTCATGTATTAGTAATCACTAGAGCATCGTTAATATAAGCAACCTACTGAGTTGTTTTTATGTTCAACACATTAAAAAATATAATTTATGTTCCTCTTCTATTATATAATTTTAAGTAATATATATTTAATTTTGTTTAAATAAAAGAAACAGTAAACATCTAATATTAAAAAATATAATTTATAATTTTATATTTATTATTTATTATTTTAAACGAGACATGTTTTATTTTTAAAAAGATATTTCTTAAATAAATAAATAAATTACCAACTTGAAGAAATCAAATATATGGTGGAGAAAAGTTGAAGAGACATATTATCTAGATAGAACAATCCGAAATTACGATAGTATACATTTTTAATTCATAGGTATATATGGAAAAATATTCGGAATTGAGTTATCTATAAATGTTACATATTGGGTTATCCAGAAAATATACTATTGTCATCTTTCAGAAAACCTTTCTATTGTCATCTTTCAGAAAACCTGCAGAAGGTGTTTTATTAGAGTATTTCACACTCTTTGTAAGGTTGGTTCTCGTACATTAATTCCTTCTAAACATTAATTATACTTCATACTTTAAATTTTGCATACATAAAGGGAAGTTACAACAAAGGATATAGTCTCCTGAGCTTTTTCAAATCATGTAGTTAATAGGTGAAAGATAATGCATTGAAATATTATGTTACTGGTAATTATGCAGAAGTAATTATTTCCTTTATTAATTATGGGCCAACATGCTGGAGTCAGGATTAATTTAATTTATGTGAAAATTTTATGTCATTCCTTCAATGGTATTTTCGGATTGAACAATTTGATTATCCATTTACAAATATATAATTTTTCTCCATTGGTTATCCAGAATACCTTTCTGGATTACCAGTTCTGTAATAGGTTTCGGATAGCCTTATTCTCTTAGCTTTGTAAGGATGGAACATCGGGAAACGTCTCTTAAGATTGTTATTATTATTGTTTGTAGGAAAGAAAATATAGAATACTCTTCGGAACTAGATAAAAATCTTATTGTCTGACTTATAATATGATAGAATACATTATAATACAATAGAATACAGAGAACATTAGGATGATCTAAGAGAGGATAAAAGCAACCTAAAAAATGTTTAAATGATCCAAGAAAAAATAAACAAAATCCTTTAACGTGGGTGAAAGACTTGCATTACTCGCTCACCCTATTTAGTGTCCATATCCTGCGTTTTATACATCCATCTAAAATCCCAACTCATGTAAAAATGACACCATCTTCAACTACGAGGACTATAATATTTCCACTCAAGGCAGAAGCATAAATCATTCCTCATAAATATCCACAATGTCGCAAAAAATTATTAACATAATATACAGGAGTAAAACAACATTAAAAAGAAAAGCAATTGTTTCCTACAAAAAATTATAGTATCAAATTAGCTAGCAGCCGCCTCCCCAGCTATCATCTCATTGTTGTCATTTCTGGTAAACGTTGCATCTGACTTTGAATCCTCCAAGTTTTTCTGTTGAAGCTCTTGTTTTAATCTTTGGATTTCCCGATCCTTCTCTTCAAGTTTATCTTGTAACATGAGAACCTGCAATGAAATCCATTTTAGATTGGATTCTCAAATATCAATTTTCATATATATGCGAAGAGCACTGATGTCTATTCTAGATTATAAAATAAAACGTTCATACAGGACGCAAGTATGATGTTATCCGACCATGAAAAACATTAGGATGTAAACAGATTCCAAGTAAACACAAAGTTTCCATTAAAAACCATCAAGTCTCAATTTCTATTAAAATCTAAGGACATTATGGCATAACATTTTTGAGAAATATTTATTATCCTTTCTTTTACAAAGTAATTAAAAAATATCTTCTCAAACTTTTTATATTCAAAATTTATATCTGAGCAAACTATATTATCAGTTTCTAAAACTTGAGGCAGAATTTTTTAATCTGCATAATCATTTATTTAATTTATATCAGTCTCTTTCCCAACACAATAGTTGAGTTCATAGAATGTTTTCCCCTAAGTTGCATGGTCCGCAAACAAAAAACATTTCACCGTTTTTTTATATAACAACACATACTGCCATCTTTAAATAACAAATAAGGAGAAAAAGAGAACGAAGTGAAAACCGTTTCATTGGATCTTTCCACATCATTTGTCAGTCCTTCCATGTGCTTCTGCAAGCCTTTAGTACATGTCAAAAACAAAAACTAGTATTAATATAAATTAAGAATGCATAAAGGTCTATGTATATAAATCTACAGGTAGATAACTTTCAATCCCTCCACACTCCAATTTTATACACAAGAACACATAAGACAACTTCTATCCCTACTCCCAACAAACATTTAACTTGTTAAAACCATACTATACACTTCAAATGATTAGTTTACAGCCGCACACAGCAATATCATTTCACTCTATCAGTTTGGCATGAAATTAAACAAACCTACTGATTCACTTGTTTGAATCACTTGTTTGAATATTAAAAAAAGTGGTGACACAGCAGTTACCCAAGTAGCTGATGTAAGAGTCATGGGATTATAGAGCCAAAAGGGTTTTAAATAGTGTACTATTGCACTAGTATTGCAGTGTAGTAGTGTGGAGCAGCCCCTGCCCGCTACAGGGGCTACTGTAGAAGAACAGTTTAGAGTAGCAAACAAAACACTGACATGCTTCCTCTCTCACACCACCTTTCTTAAACATGATCGTGGCTTGGGTGCTAACTGCTCTCTTAAATATATTTTAATCACTGCCAATGTCAATTGATTCATATTCATTGTTTTTTCTTTTCACTTCACTTTCCTCATCCTTATTAAGGATTGATTTCTTGATCAAATTTTGTTGTAAACCAAAACAATTTCCCACATCTCCTTCACTTCATCAGTAACAACCTTGCAAGCTCCAACATCTTTTTGATACCAGCCAAGTGATGGTTCAACCTATAAACTCTCTCAGTTTTTACCTTTTGACAATATTTTCATTTAAGTTTCCTAATATCCCTACCAAGTGAAGTACAATGCTTCCAAGCTATATCCTTTCTATTTCTTGTAGCATTTTTGGGAGGCACAATGCAGGTAGGATTGAAGTCATTTTAATTATTCTATAGAAGAGAATAAATAAAAAGGAGACAACAGTGTGGCGGGGAAGGATTGTAGAAATAAAATAAGAAATAGAGCAAGTAAAAAAGTGATAACAATGTGGTGGAGAAAGGTTGCAGAAATGGAATGAGAAATAGAACAAGTAAAAAGGAAACAAGAGGGTGGTGGAGAAAGAGAAAGATGGAAGTGATTAAATAAATTAATAACTATAATTGACAGCTTTTACGAAAGAGAAGAGGGAGAGGAAAAAAATATCATTTTAGGTATCTTAGTGTTGCGCAAACCAAGTGGTAGTGTCTGTTTTACACAAGAGAAGAGGAAAAGTCTAATTGTTGTTTTAGGCTAAAAGTGGGAGAATATTAGACTTTAGAGAACAATACATATTGGGTTTTAAAGGGATAAAAAACGTGTCATTATGGGCTTTGAAGAGAATTTAACCCAATTGAATCGGTGTGCGAGGAATAATTAGGTATGAAACACAATAGTGTAGAAATAGCTTGCCTACAAGAGAGATGATAAGGCTGTCACACCCCTGCAACACAGCTGCCAGCTGCCGCACCCATGCGATGCAGCTGCAGCACCCATGCAATGCAGCTACTACACTCATGCAATGCAGCTACTACACTCATGCGACGCAACAGAGATGTCGCCACTCACACAATGTTGCAGCCATGCGACACCGCACCGACATGGATAGAGATTCTGCGTACGCCAGTCATGATCTTGAACAATGATCTCACATGATCCCTAAACACGCAATCAGATAACACCCGGACTCGAAGAAGGGGAAAAAGATCATAGATGCGTACAACCTACACTCTGAAATGCGATTTTGACTACCATTTCAGCCATTGCAGTGTTGTGTTAATTAAAAAAGTACCTTAGGACAAAGACATTAGGGCTTGTCTCTAGGGCTATTTGGGATTTTAATTTCGAAAATAAAATCTATAGATGTAATATGGTGAAAATGATAAAGTATTGAATTAGAAGATGATCCAGATGATTCTAATCTAGGAAACTTGTATTTGACTTTTGTTGGTATTTACTAGTATGTTGTGTTTACGATACCTAATGATTTTCATTGTTAATTATGAATGTTATTAATTGTGAGTAACTTTATCATCTTGACAATTTATATGTATACAGTACACAATAATAAACTTCACTTTCAAGATAGCGATTATCCTGGTACACACTATTTCACTATGGTGTTTTTTGAGATGACCACTACACACAGCTATTCAATGCTTAAAACATACAAGAAAAACAAATTCCATTTAATGACAAACCTTCAAATTGACTTCTAAGTTGTGAATTCTGGGACTTCTGCAGTGCAAGTTTCAATGCTAATTCATGTATCTGCATACCAAGAGGGAAACAAATGGAAGATGAAGACATCTTAAGCATCGATTCAGTAACAATGAAAACCTTATAGGGCATTAAGCCCTTATCTTTATAGTTGGATGCAAGCAAGTGTGACATTAATTTTGGTAACTAATACAACACAAATGGGCGGAAAAGTGACAATTAGAGGCATAAAGAAAAAAAATATAGAAGCACCTTCCCCTCGGAAGCTTGATTTCCAATCTCCTCGTTTTCCTCCTGCAGGGTTCTACATTTAGCCATTAGCATCTTCCCCATCTTGCTTTGGGGAGTAAAACTCATAGCAGCAATGTTATCTTGCAACTCCTTTACTTTTTTATCCTTTTCCTCGACTAAATTCTATTATCAGATGAAAAGTCTTGTGTAAGAACTAAAAAATGGGTAACCATGAAAAAGACTGTCCATAACAACTGAAAGAAATTGTTAATGTGTCATAAGCAAGGACATGTGATGAATATGAAAGAAAAGAAACATGTAACTAAGACAACTATCTCGAGCCAAAAAAGAAATAAAAATAAAGTCAAAACAATGTACAAGATATGCGCTCTAAAGCATCCGTATAAAATATATCCAAGAGCCAAACACATCCCAGAAGGAAGCCAAATCTGAAAATTTTCCTATTCTAGTATGTCAACTGAAAACAAGATTTACAATTTACAACTACCCTCTACCATAGCAATTATCCCCTATACATCCAACAATACAAGCACTGTCTACTCAAAGTAGAATGTTTGGCTATACTGTTCCATCTTCAGTGTTAATTCCATTCCATCTCAGTTTTTTTTGACCTCTAATAAGAATAAACCACTTATCACCAAGATATACACCCGCAAGAATCAAACAAAAGAAGCAACAATCCTAGACCACCAACAACAGGGCACACAACACTCAAAGGATGCAAAACACCCAACAGTTACAACCTAATAGATATTTGAGATATTATTCATCACCATATATATATTTGTTATATTTACTTGTATAATTCTTAATTATAAATCTATTATCCTATGTGTATTTTAGACATAAGGAAATTAACCCTAATTTTTTCTTATATTCAACATAGTATTTAGAGCTTAGGTTCTCTTTTTTCTTTTTTCACATCACCGCCGCTGCTGCCCCTGCCACCGCCGGAGCCAGAGTCACAATTCAGATCGGCGACCACATCGTTCTGCTCGTCTTGACTAGGCGACCACCGCGCCATTGAGATCACCTTAAAGATTTCAGGGTTTTTTTCTTTCTTCCTCCATGGCTTCTTCTACTGTCTCACAATCATCTACTGTGGATCCTACGTCATCTTGTACCGCAGACAAATATGCTATTTTCAATAAATATTTCAAATGGTATGAGGATCTTCATAACTCTAGTTCCACTATTTCTGTTGCACTCACAGGTATATCTTTTATTGACCTAACTCAATTTCCTTCTCTTGGACCTTAAGTTCTTGACTCGGACGCCACAGATCATATTATTGGGAACAAATATTAGTTTTCTTCTTTATCCTCTCCAGATAATTTACCTTCGATTACAATGGCTAATGAATCTAGGATTTTGCCTCATGGTGTTGGTATTGTTAAACTTTTTCTATCTTTATCAATTGATAATGTTCTTTACACCCCTAGGTCTTCCTTTAACTTATTACCCATTAGTTGTCTAACCCGTTTTCTTGATTGTGTTAATTTTTTTTACCAAAGATTGTGTTTGTTTACAGGACCAGAGTTCAAGATAGATGATTGGCACCGGATGTGAGTTTCATGGTCTTTATCACCTCTGCCCTTTTACACATGTTGGCACAGTTATGAAGTCTTTATCTCTCCTCCATGCTCAACTAGGTCATCCCAATCTTGCCAAATTGCAGCAACTTGTTCCCAGTTTGTCCAATTTATCTAATTTATTACGTGAGTCATGTCAATTAGGAAAATATAGTCGTAATTCATTTCCTCGTAGTGTCTCACAACGTGCTCCGTCCCCTTCTATATTAGTTCACTCTGACATTTGGGGATCCAGTCGTATTAAGTCTAATTAAGATTTTCAATGTTTTGTTACCTTTATTGATGATTATTCCAGAAGTATTTGGTTGTTTTTAATGAAAAATCATTTTGAGTTGTTTTCTATATTCCAATCCTTTTTTAAAGAAATTAAAACTCAGTTTGAGATTTCTATTCGAACTTTGCGAAGTGATAATAGTCATGAATACCTTTGTCATTCTTTTAAACATTTTATGACTTCTCATAGCATTTTTCATCAAACTTCATGTGCTTATACACCTCAACAAAATGGGGTGGTTGAACATAAGAATAAACATCTTGTTGAACCAACTCGCACTCTTTTAATTCATGGTAAGTTTCCTAAACATTTTTGGGATAATGTTATTCTTACTGCATGTTATCTTATTAATTGCATGTCATCTTCAGTTCTAAATTAAAATTTCTCATTCTCTTTTATTTTCTCATGAACCTCTACATCCCTTACCTCTTAAAATTTTTGGATCTACATGTTTTGTTCATAATTTTAATCCTAGTCTTGATAAATTATTTCCGAAATCACACAAATGTATCTTTTTAGGATTTATTCGATCACAAAAAGGATAGAATTGTTTCTCTTTTTCTCTTAACTGTTTGGTTTCTAAAGATGTGACTATTAATGAGTCTTCCTTTTACTTTAAGTGTCCTTCTCCGTGTGTGCCGCCGTCTGCTACTGTCAATAGTCCTGTTGTGTGTGATTCTCCTATTAGCCCATCTTCGGATTCTCCTCCGCCACCACAACTTTTTATAGTAAAAAACAACTATCCCAACAACTACGAAGAGACTCACTTCTAGTGTCAACTCCTTTGTCTCCTCTGGCTCCGACAACTGAGTTTGACCTTCCAATTACCTTCTGTAAAGGTATATGTTTTACTTATAATTCATCTCCTCATTATAATGCTTTGAGTTACCATAGATTATCTCCACCTTTTCATACATGTCTTTCGTTCATTTCTTCTATGTCAATTCCCAAATCCATAGGTGATGATGCCTTAGCCCATCCTAGTTGGCATTAGGTCATGCTTGATGAAATGAGTGCTCTTCAAAATAGTGGAACTCGCGAACTCTTCACATTACTGTGCTGTTGGTTACAAATGAGTTTTTGCTATCAAAGTTGATCTTGATAGTACTATTGACCATCAAATAAGCTTGTCTTGTGGCCAAAGGTTACACACAAATTTTTTGTTTGAATTATGGTGACACTTTTTCTCTAGTGGCAAAGATGACTTTTGTTCGCTTATTCATAGTCATAGATGCTCATCAACAATGACCTCTTTACCAACTAGATGTCAAAAATGCTTTTTTTTAATGGAGATTTGTTGAAAGAAATTTATATGGAGCAACCTTGAGGCTTTGTTGCTCAGGGGGAGTCTTCTAGATTGGTATGTCATCTTCATAAATCTTTATATTGCCTAAAACAGTCTCCTAGGGTCTGGTTTGGAAAATTTAGCAGTGTCGTTCAATAGTTTGGTATGACTCGCAGTTAGACAAATCATTCAATATTTTTCGTCCCTCAAGTGCTAAGTGTATCTATTTAATAATATATGTTGATGATATTGTTCTTACAGGGAGTGATCACCATGACATCTGTCAAATGAAGCAACACCTTTATCACCACTTTCAGACCAAAGATCTTGGCAAACTTAGATATTTCTTGGGGATTGAGGTAGTACAATCCAATAATGGTATTGTTATATCGCAGAGAAAGTATGCATTGGATATTTTAGAATAAACTGGGTTGATGAACTCAAAATTTGTTGACACACTCACGGATCCCAATACCAAACTCCTACTTAATCAAGGAGAGTCTCTCTCAGATCCTAAGAAGTACAAAAGATTAGTTGAAAAACTAAACTATCTTATTGATACTCGTCCTGACATTTCCTTTCCAGTTAGTGTTGTGAGTCAATTTCTTAATTCCTCATGTGCAGATCATTGGAATGCAGTCATTTATATATTAAAGTACATTAAAGGATATCCTGAAAAAGGTTTGTTATAAGATTACAATAATCAAGTTAAAGTTGTCTGCTATTCAAATGCTGACTGGGCAAAATCTCCTTTTGACAGAAGATCTACTTCCGAATATTGTGTTTCTATTGGAGGTAACTTGATCTCTTGAAAGAGCAAGAAACAAAGTGTTGTGGCAAGATTTAATGTAGAAGCAGAATATAGAGCTATAGCCTCAACCACTTGTGAACTTGTTTGGCTTAAACAATTACTTACAGAGTTAAAATTTGGAGATGTCACTCAAATGACATTTATGTGACAATCGGGTTGCTCTTCATGTTAACTCTAACCCTATCTTACGTAAAAGGACCAAGTACATTGAAGTTGACTGTCATTTTATTCGAGATTGTTGAAGTATTTATTAGATTAAATGTATCTTGTTGGACATTTATGAGATTAGTTGTAGATCTAGTTCCTAGAATGCATCTGTTTATCTTCTCTAGGATTAATCATGTCTCTCTATTAATTGTATATTTGAATCTGTATTTTTATCTCCTATAAATAAGAGAACACAAGAAGATGATTTCAGGCTCTCAAAATCAGTTCTTTATTTTCTTTTTTCTATTTCAAGTTGGTATCAGAGCGGGTTCATGCCGCTCTGCCTGTCTCTGTTTTTTTTCTGGCATTAATCGCCGTTCACCGCCGTCCGCCGCCGTTCGCCGCCGTTCGCCGTCGGTGTTGTCTTCTCCGGCGTCTTTTTCCTCTCTGATACTTGGGTTTGGCTCGCCTCGAGGAGCGCGACCCAACCCCAGTGTTCGCTTCCTCTATCTCTGCCTCACGCGCCGCCACACGCCACCCTCGTCTGCGGCTTCCTCCACGCGTGGGCCTCACGCGCCGCCCTCTCGGTGGCTGTTTTGCTCCAGGCCACCTCTATCCGGCTCGCCTCGTCGCCCTGGTGCCAGATCTGCACTTTGTTTTGTGTTCTCGGTCACAAAACGTGGTGGGTCTGCATTTTTCTCTCTGCCTCTCTCGGTCCTCTCTCTGACAGCACGCTGGTCCCTTCTCGTTTCCTGGAAAATGTCAGGATCTGTGTCTGTATCTTTTTCTGGGACTCCGACTATAACCACAGAAAAATTAAATGGGAAAAATTATTTGTCTTGGGCTTCCTCTGTTGAACTCTGGTTTCTAGGTCAAGGAGTTCATGATCATCTAGAAGAAGATGGAAGTACTATACCAGCAGACCAGGCTCCTCAATGGAAGAAACTGGATTATCAACTTTGTGCACTATTA